ATTTGTTCAAGTTTTAAATAATTTTGAAATAAAAGTGTTTCAATTAATGTCTTACATTTATTTTTTGTTCATTATTTTTTAATTTAAGCAAGAATTAAGTTAAATAATTTTGTAACATCAAAAATATATTATATTAGACTTGCAATACATTATTTTATATAAAAATATTTCAATGGCACTGTTTGCTGTAGATCTTGAGTGACAGTTGTGTAAAAGCAATCTTGTTTTATTTTTAGAACATAAATTAATAAACTATAATTTATAAACCTCCGATATCAAAAACATTTATTTGTTCATAAAGCAATATAGAGGTATGCCCAAAATTTTTATGAAACAATATTTTTAAAGCTCATCTACTGGCCGAAATAAAAATTTTTTTGTTTTGTGGCCATTTTTTATTTATTTTTCATTTATTTTGACACCGAAATTTTTATCATGTACTTAATACTCTTTTTGGTTTTCTTAATTAACCCATTTTACAAACTTCTGTATTTAATATATTCTTGATGGAAATGATTGCAAAATTCTTAATAAAAGTTGTTTTTTCCATATTATCCCTACATCTATCATTTCTTGTTATATTAACGTGTATTACATATTTCTTTGTGACAATTGTAATATTGCGGCTTGAAAAATAAAATGTTCCGTGTTTCTGGACGATACATCAAAGATTAAAACCATCATTTGACGCCGTACTATTACAGAACAGTTGAATTTACATAAGACAGCGTTCTAGGCAAAGAAACGACATCTTGACCCAAAATATACGAATACTCGAATAATAACAGGAAGTGATAATAAACGGCGATAAGAGTTAACAAAGACTGCATGTTAAATTATTTCAATTAACGTGTGGTGGCACAGTACACATCAGTATTAAAATTCATACCACTAATCGCAATGGGTTATGAATTTTTATACACACCGGGCCTGGTAATGTAATAAACAACGTAGAGTAAAGCTCAAAGTAAAAGGAACACACGTCGATAACGTGAAGAAAATTTTCTGAGGATATCCGCTGCTTGACCTTCGCTTTAAACTCCCGAATAATTAAATGTTATCCAAGACTTTTTATAATTATGTTTAAATTGAAATGCGATTACGGTCTCTACCGCAGATGGAAGAGAAAAAAATTGGAAATTGTTGCATTTCTCAACCTCAGTCCGTTAGACAAATACAATTTGAATTTAATCAGCATTGTTGGGTTAAGTCTGTTTAACTACTAATTTTCAAACATATGAAATATGTAAATATCTCATTCAAAATATATTTTGAGGTTAAAATTCGTAAGTACTTAGATATTTTTATTAAAATCGAGATTAAAATTTAATGTACAAATAACAAAAACAGTATACCTATTTGAATATAGATTTCATTATCGACATGGAACAAACACAGACCGTTGCTCGTAGATATTGAATATCATATATCAGAGGTTCTTAAACCAATTTTACGGTTAGTTTCAAAGGCGTTATTTAATAAAAGGGGGGCAAAAAGTGCAAGGAACGTAACCGCAAAATTATATGGCAAAGTGTACCTAACTTTTAACTATTTTTTTTCTGCCTAACGAAAGCGATCTGGTAGCAAAACAGGTTTCGTAACGTCTGTTAGGAATTCGGAAAAAAACATATAGTGTCTCTTCCAATAGTAAATTCCAGGTACGCGCAATGATTCAATTTTGTATTGTTATTTAGAATATTAATCACGGGTTTCTGATTTCAATCAATACACATACATTATTATCTGGTATCGCTGCAGGGGATTCGAATGAAACGAACAAAAACTGGAAAGTACAGCAATTTTTGCGGGATATATTTAAAATAATATTTTCGTGCCGAATGCCTCACGATTTATTCATGGCGATATTTCTTTATAAAATGAGTTGCAAGCGTTGTAAAAGCTAAAAAAGCTTTGCAGTCTGAATCAACCCTCTCAAAACTACCCCTTGCAAGCACTATCGCTCTTTTATCGTCGTCAGCAAAGCAAGCTCTTTAAACAGAAATTTATAATTTTTAATTAATTGGGTTGAACGGTTAAAAACGAAAACGTTTTTTTATTTGTTATATTTATAAAATATAATTTAGAAGCAGACCTAGAAGGCCTAGGAGGAAATTTTCATATACATTCGAATCAATCCACATTATTTGTGTGTATCCTTTTGACATTTTCTACATAATAAAATTGAATTGCCTATACGATTTTGTGGACAAAAATCCGGTCAACATCCACTGCTCCAATAGTTAAAAATAATGATGCAAATGCTGGTTTGTTATCGGAATGTTCTCATGCTTGCGTTAAAGAAATGTTGATATCGGAAAAAGTGGATTCACGACATCACTTTGACGATAAAACTGCGGTTTAACTTTAAAAACAAACGACGGCAGTGGTGATAATTTATCGCCTTCCAAAGTTAAAGTTAATTGAATCACTACAAGATGTTCATTGGGGATGACTCACCCTAAAATTGTACCAAATTTTTTTTTCGTTGACCGAATTGAAAAATAGTATTATATCACAGCAGAATTTAATTTAATTTTTTTTTACTTTTGTTAAATTTTAAAAAACTATGGTTTTCAAGAAATACCGTATTAACTGACACAAGATTTTAAGTGTTCATTAAAAAATAAACAGTTAGTAGTAGGCTTTATCTTTCAAATTTGACAATTGGCCAAATAAATTTTACTTCACCTAATTCTACAAATAGAAAACAAGTACATAGGTAGTTTTTAAATAAGCGAACATTGTATTAAGTAAAAAACGCAAAAAATAAATAATAAAAATAATAATTGATATTTTTCCATCAACAATCAGAGGAAATTGTTGAAATAATATTTATTTTTAAGGTTTCAATAGCAATTTAATTTTATTTTTAAGGTGAATTTAATAATTTTTATTTCCTTTTGTTACATGTATGTATGTATGTATCCAATGAAATTATTTCGATGTTTTATCACTAGAAAATGGTTTAACGTTATTGTTATTGTACAAAAAATTTAAAAATTTAGCTGGTATTAATAAATATTAATAGAATAAAATTAAGTTCAAAATTGATAAATATGAATATTCCAATATAACTTATTTTAGAAATAAGAAAAAGGTCCAATTTCTCACAATCCTTTTATTTTTAAAAGCCTGCGAAAAGTTTGACCTCGAAACCAGTAAGTAAGAAATTGGACCTTTTTCTTATTTTTAAAATAAGTTATAACAAAATTAAATTTTGAAGTGATGTAAAAAATTTGACGATGTAATTTTTTTATGTCGCTAATATAATTCGATGCTAGTCCGGGTATGTAGAAAAATTAGACACACTTATGATTAGTTTTTCAAGTTTTAGAATTGAAAAAAACGATGTTGATTACATTTTTTTTTTCAAGAACGTTTCTCGGTTGTCTTTAAATTTCTTGATTGGCAACAATTAATAAATAATAAACAAATACGCAGTAAACTACAAAAACTAAATGTTTAGAAATTGATACTATCAATATTTTATAAGAAATGAATTAGAAATTTGAAATTTTCAAAACAAAAACTCTTTAGAGATCCCGTTGTTAATAATAGAACTCTTTATCGTATTCCTCAAACCATATCTTGAATAAATAAATCATTCTACAAATTAAAATTCAAAGAATACCCAGAGATAACGGCGTATTTTTTATCACTTGTCTAATAGAAGCAATAAAGATTGTACTTTTCAACGAGCCTAGATTATGGAGCAACAATAATTATTTTTATATTTTTATATAACACAATAATAAATAATAAAATTTTCAGGATATATTCATATAATTTTTTCTACGTGATTTCTGGCACCGTATTGAATTATAATATTTTTATTCCTGGAATATGTATAATCGTAAACTGTATTTCATTGCGCAATAAACAAGGCTTTATATAATTTGCTTCACTTTCAACTAATTAACTAACAGTTAATTAAACAGGAAATGTTGTGGTTAATTTTTCGGGTACATCTTAAATAAAATTATTAATTTTGCCTGTAATTGAGCCGTAAAAGGGCAGTTCTCCCCTAATGCCTAAATACATTTTTACAGGTAAAACTGGGTGGGGTTCATTTCACAACCCCAGATCACGGGCATTAGAAAATTTTATAATTTATGGTAAAATGCATACGTTTCAATATTTAGCGCCCTGTAGTATGTGGTACAGTCATTAAAACCCAAACGGCAGATAAAGATTAGAACATAAGTACATGGACGATAACGGAGCGATAACAAAAAACGTATTTTCACAGATGTTTGTGAAACGGGGACAGCGCGAGCAACAATAACGTACGAAGGTGCTTATTATGTGCATAATATTTCCATCATCCAACAATTATTTTATTAGCGCTGCCAGTCGAAGTCGGTTTCGATATGAATCACCCATTTTTAGACGAAAATAACCATTACATTGTTTACCAGCGCATCCGAACTGAAATAAATTATAAAATAATTTTAATAACCCCGGCGCGATAACGATCTATGTCGTGTAAATAATGCATCCACTCCGCCGTATTATAAATGTAAATCGACTCGAAATGCATTTTGCAACATTACATAAATAAATTACATTTAAATTACTATAACTTTTGGATATAGAAATAATAACGTCATATATAAAGTAGAAAGAGAAACATAAACTAGAGTGGGATAATCTTTGTAAACCGGCTCAAGTGTAGCTCTACTGGAGAGAATGCGACGCCGGATCGCTGGATAGCGGCAAACCGCCGAAGGAACTCGCGGACTCGCTTGATTCGCGGCGAAATCGTACACGCGCGTTCTGTTAAGATCGCGTCCGGCACATCTGACTTCCAAGGCTTCATTTACATTAAAAATAGTTGAAAAGAAAAACTGATTTATAATTAAATGACGTCCATAATTACAAATCCTTATAAAATTTAACAAGTATATTTATTTTTTTAACGAATTACGATTATTGTTCTTCGTCCAAATCAAATAAACAATACGGCGACACATCTAGAATATTTAAATAGCTCTGCTTACCTCCCCGTGGTCCACCCGTCCTTCGGGAGTATTTTCGGGTAAGAAGTAAAGCCGCAAGCTGGCCAACACTTGCTCACTATTTTTGTCAATCCATAACAATTGCAACTCGCCGATGCACAACAAGTCCGAGTCTCGCCACATCTTCACGAAGAAAAACTCACTCAAAGTCACTATTCGCTTAACGCCGTTTTTCGTGTATTTGAACGCCTTGTAGAACGTGTAAGGGCCGTGTTGCCCGCAAGGCCCTCCGACTAACTGCAAAAAAAAACAACAACAAACCACATTAAAAGAGACACACCGTGTTGATTGTCGCACGTAAAAAACAATTACATAAACAGAAAGCTGGAACGGATACCTTGGATCGGGTAACGAAAGTAGACTATTGCATTTAATTCCTAGCAATTACCTTGATAACACGGCTAAATATTTTATTGAAGATAATAGAATAACGTTCAACATTAATACCCAAGCAAGAAAACCATTTCCCTGCCTAATTATAGAATTTAAATTAAAAAACGAGGAGCCGAGCCTATTTTTAAAATTCAAATTTATTTTTAATCGAAATTGGTAATTTGTTATTATGTGAAAGCGCAATAGGGCGAGCTGATAAAACAAGCAGTCGAAAATAAAAACGCTTCGAGTGCAGAGAGTGCGAACGAACATAATTTAATTATAGCTACCAATTAATTAATATTTATAGAAAGTCATGTCATAATAATAAATAGCGATTAAAAACGGTAATAGCCGTCCGAAAATTGGGCCGCCTTCGCCAAAATATTCGGAACACAATAAAATATTATGTAGAAAATTTTCTTACCTGTACATCGTTATTATCCATTTTTTATTCACAATTAATCACAGAGCACACTACAAACAACACGCTGACACCACCATCTACTTTGTATTTACTCTAATTATATGACGTCACGATACAGAGCTACAGTCGTAGGCGCTCGTAATATTTCGACGTTTGCTCGGACAAACTGGCGCTTTACAATAAATGGTAGGAGGAGTATACACAAAGAAATTGACATTGCTGTAGTCAACAACCGCTGTTCCTGTCTCCTAAAAGTGAAACTGTGATGTAAAGTGTAAATCTATCGGCTCGATTCTCGTAGAAATTTCAGATTGCACAACTGATAACGGCCTGCTCGAACGAGAGGTGAGTATCGACGCTTCGTTCTTTCGTTTGTTTATTCGGCAATGATTTGCGTGGCACTCTCAGATGAAAACCTGACATTTCGGTGGCAACGCCGAGCATTATTGTTTATATTGTTAGCGTGTACGATTTAATAAGTAGTAAATCGTAATGTGTTTGTGTATTCTTGGTTGCCTGAAGTGTTCCTTTCTAAATAGTTAAAAGGTTTGGGGTCAGGTTATTTCTGTATAGTAAATAAACCCACGTTTGACCATAAAATAAATTGTAACTAACCAATAAAAATGTGGCTACCGGTGTGTTGTCGAGATTAATACAAAACTAATTTTGTTTGCATAATAATATTGGGATACAATAGTGTTTAAAAATGAAGGTAGAACTATTTATTGTTTTATAATATGCGTTAGTAAACAACTCCCAAATAAAAAAGTATGCTTTATGCTGAAAAAATGTATCGAATCTCGAGCCAAGTTGTTTCAACATTAGGATTAAAATGGCAGATGATCTATTATTTTTTTGACAAGCGGTAGGTTCTAGTTACTATTAATGTTTATGTGTGAGAACGTTTTTAGGTTATTTTTTTATTGTATTAATTTATTAATTCGCGAAAAACATATTTCGTACTAGTACCTACGTACTAATTATCAATAAACATAATAGTGGAATGTTGTTATATGAAATAGGTAGGTAACACAGAATAAGATGAGATTTGATTTTGTATCTAGCCCGCTACATTTTACCTTCCGTAATTTGTATAAATGACTTGCTGTTTATTTTTAATTAAGTTTACTTTCGTGTTGTGGTCGTAAGAGTCGTAAAAAATCGAATTACCTACACGAAGTGTCGAAAGAATATTAATACATTTTTTAATTGAAAGGCAGGTGACCGTTTTGGCTAATGGAGTATATCGAAATTATTTTACGTTTGTTAAAGAATTTTTAAGCAACCAAGAAGCGAAACCGCAAATTTAGTAAAGTATTTCATTGAACTTTCTGCGTTTGCCAATTTTGCACTGCATGAACAAATATTTTTAATTCGATCTGTGCGCAGTTTCATTTCGAAGAGAAATATATTTTACTGTGATATAAACTTGTATGTGCATTGTTATAGGAATATTAAAGTGCTCTTAAGAATACTCTATTCTTTGTTAATTTGTATTGAAAAAGTACCTCGATATTTCATTATAAAACATCGAAAGTAGGATAACCATATTAAATGACATGAAATTCAACTTTCCATCTGTTTTAATTTTCTTAGCATTTGTAGGTTTCATACCAGGTATAACTGGAATATAATAGATGTACAGTTATCTTTATTAGGTACCTACCTGTGCTGTTATGTTCTCAGATGTAGGGTTCAAAAAGGTTATTTCAAGATTTGCCTGGAGTTTTCTAATGTTACCATATGGCAATTTTATGAGTATATTTTATTTTTTCGTAAAAAATATTCAATTTACATTTGCAGCAAGTTCATGGTTAGCTGTATCTTATAGGTGTGAATGACAAAACGTTTTTTAATCTGTGTGTATTCTTCCATATTTTTTGTTTTATTTACCCCATCCGTGATTGCAAGCCGATTTTTATCCTGGCAATTCTCCTCGATTTTCTTCGTAAGCTCGTCCTGTAAAGGAAACTCTTGTAATTGCCATTAAAGTTATCTAGACTAGGTAGTTTACTTCCGTGCTGCTCAAGATAGGTCAGTTGCACTAATTCTAGCTCGCGTTTTACTCTAAGGATAATAAAACTACTCATAAAACTATTTTCCGGAGTCGCATTTGTACAAGAAAAACACTGTATGAAAAATAGTTTTTTGCCATGGAAATAAAACGATAGAAATTGTTTTTTTTTTAATTTTGATTTGTTACCGCTCCCTGAGTTTTTACCTGTATACTTTTCCTTCCAAGGTTGACAATATTTTCAAGTTTTGTTGGAATTTTGTGAAAGCACATGCTGTATTTAAACAAAAAAATCAGATGTAGTTAAACTTAGACAAATATTTAATCCAACTACTATTCCCTGCTACTATTTTAAATAAATTTGCCATTAATTTGGCTTTATGCCAGGAAGTTAATGAACAGCGATGTTTAACTTGATACTGGGATACATGATGCAGTTGATTTATTTTTATGTTCTATATAAAAATGTGTTATAAAAAAATGAATTTACATCTTATAATGTTCGGTCCAATTTAAGTTTCTAAAGAACTCCTTCAAAACAGGATTAATATAATACGGCATTACAAAAAAATGCTATTAGAATTCTAAGAACTTATCCCTTTAAATCGGTGCACGCTTTGTTGCCATGTGTTAAAAAAAAAAGAGCCGTTTGTTAATAAAAATTGTATACCGATCTTTATAATGGTTAAACTTGTATTTCGATAAAATAATTAATACGTATTTTCATCAATTTTAAGTGAACCATATTTTTTTTAATTTTAGGTTTTTTGTTATTGATACTTGTTAATCTAAAATGACCCCCGAATAACCTCCTGAAGTTCAGACAGAGACTTGGAAACATTTATACATTAATTTAGGCACAAAAAAATAATTTCTAAACGTGAATTTGTATCATTCATTTGGCAACAGTTCAACTCCGTCACCAGTAGCCTTTTTGTTAAATTTGTCACCGTCATTGTTTTCAATTAGAGAATACTAGAGAACGCAAGTTTAGAAGCAGCTTGCGTTAATTCAAATCGAAATTTCTATTTCAGTTTTCTGTTATGAAGTGGCAATTTCGTTGTAAATTTGCCAAATCGTTCACGGTATAGCATTAGATTTTTATTGATGACTTAGCGGTTTAAAAAAAGTTTCGTGTTTCCATAAAACTGCTTTCAATCTAGTGTTTACATTTATTGGAATTTTCTGAATTATGGGACTCAATACTTTTCCATTAAAAAAAATTCATAATGAAACATACAGGAATAACTAAAAATAATGATATTAAATTAAGCAGAAATCCTCATTATTTTATATTATTAATTATATATTTGTTTATTATTGCATATTCTATTATATATACATTAGTCACCAAAATTAAGGGATATTCAAAAAATTCAAAATATTTGGGTGATTTTCAGAGCTCTAACTTAGAGATATTGCCGTAGTGAGAATAAAAAAAGAATATTGACGCTTCAAGTTGGTAGGTTTCGAATCTGAAGTTTAAAATTTCAGTCAGCTGTTTTTGAGTAATCATAAGAAAACCAACAAAAACATTTTCTCCAAATTTTTGCTTGTCTTTAGAAAGGTCTAGGGACTTCAGTAATTTTTTTTTGGTAATTTCACGGTAAAGCTCTTTTAGATAATTTAATTCCCTTCAATTTGAGTAATCGCCGATCAAAACAAAAAAGTAATTTTTGACTTTGGTAATCCATTACTCGGGAAATAATGGTCGTACATAAAATCCAAGTAGCGTTTTGAAAACTGCAAAATTTTCTCTACAAGTCGTAGTTATTTCTGATAAAAATATTTTTTTCGAAGTGAAAATATTGGTTGGAAAAAATTGCATAATTAGGGATATTAGAATTACTTGGCATAACTGCAAATATTTAGATCCGAAAAGTAGAAACTTCTATTCAATTTCTTTTTTTTTTATTCTCATCGACCATTTTCCTCCAAGTTACAGTTGTTTGAAAATCATCCAAATATTTGGAATTTTTTTAATATCCCTTATTTTTTGTGACTAATTTAGATTAGTGTACAATATACATAGAAAGTGTTCATTTAAGTCCGTAGATAAACTTTAAGATATGACTTTTGTAGTGTCTTTAAACTAAAAAATGTTATATAGACATACAAATAGTCCGCAATTCGATGGTGTGCAAGGTTTGAAAACAAACAAACAAAAAATTACCAAAGAGTCTGAAGTCTTCAGCTAATGATTTGTCTAATTGAAGGCCAAAATACAGTAAATTCTGATATAAATACATGTACCAGTGGCGTAGATACTTCACGAAAAACCCCAGAAATTCGACGGTACTGAATATTTTGAAAATATTGCCATTACTTTGAACCTGTTTGATGTTTCCACGAAAGGGGATATACTTTGTTTTAACGAACCATTTTTAATTTATTAATTTTTTAACCTTTCGTTAACTTTTTTTGCTAGAATAACAAATTAAACACAATCTAATCATGACAAATCTAATGGCCAATGGGTAGAAATTGTGTATTTTGTGTAAGATAAGGGAGATATTCCCAAAATAAATTAATTGGAATTAAAAAAAAGTAATAAATAGAACATTGTTCGTTTTCCGAATAAAATTAAATATATCTTTAGTCTTGGGAACACAGTAAAGAGTTACAAGTAGTGATCCAATTTTCAAAATATTCACTGGCGTATAATTTCTGGGGTTTTTTGAAATACTGAGGTATTTTTCTGAGAAAAAAAGTAGCAGAGCGCCACCGATCGCTGTGAATTTTTGTATCCCACATTTGACTGACAGTTAAAATGTAATGTTTTCAAAATAATTATTTTAATTAAAAAAAAACGCATTTACAAATAGATCACCATGTACTTTTTAATGTTTCCTAGATCTCATGGCGAACCTGATTAAGTGGATCACCCTGTATATAGGTTTGCAATAAAAATAAAAATATTTATCAGATGACAGAGTATGATTTCATTCATATTTAAAACACATATCTTTTATATCCAAAACAATTATGTACCTAGCAATCTTATGAAAATTATATTCACAGAGCCTATATTTTAATATTATCTGTATTGTTACCTCTATTATTACCAGCTATAAATAGTTTATAAATATACGTATTATTTGGTTTTCAGTTATAGTTCTTGTGTGAAAAAAATTAAAAACATTGTGTTTCATTTATATTTTCATTGTTTCAGATTGGCATCAAATAATTATCCTCCGTTGGAGTCAATTATTTCCTCGGAAAATCTTAATCAAAAGATAATGTTTGTGACCCACCCAACAGATCTCCGGATTCAACATCATTAGATTTCTTTATGAGGCTGCTGTGAATCTTTCTTAGCAAATTTAAGAAGTAAAGCATGGTGCAGCCATCTAGGTCTTCGGATTAGATTTTTTTCTTTGGGGAAATAAATTATGTGTAATTTAAAATACTCATTATAATATTTTGACTCTTAGATGAAGAAATAAAAGCAATTTGTTATTTATTGATTTCTTAAGGTATTTGTTCATTTGTGTGTGTTACATATAATAAGGTTTACTAATTTAGAAACCAAAAACGCAGTAAAAAGTTTGTCATTTTTATTATAAGAAAATATGTTTTTATTGCATTTAGCAAGTAGAAGTGTACTCTGAAATTTTTAATATCATCATGACATTTTTTATAAGGAAATTATTTAAAGTTTAAATCGACGAAATAGTTAACATTATTCTGGACTAAGTGAATCCCAAAGTTAAAAGTATTCATGGCTCCCATTCTTGTGGAGTATATACATTGTAAATCCCATAATACGCATTCACTAGGTTCCAGGAAAGGCGAAAACAAGCAAAAAAAGCCTCAGTTTCTATAACGGAATCGGTATAAGTATTTCTCAACCGTATATTTACATACCAACTCGGAAATTTCGATTAAACAATCCCCAAACAATAACCATCCAATTCAAAAGCTTTCAAATTACAGTCAACTAAGGCTGAATCATCAGTTTTACAGCCAGGTATCCCTATTCGCTTATGATATAGAAAATGTGTTACATTTCGGTTTTATAATAAATGTTTACTTTGTTCGAAAACATTTGGCCAAATAACAGCGGGCTAAAAATATCTATGATTCGCAATTTACTTTTACACAGCGTATGAGGAGGTATGGGTCATTATCCTTTCGAATTTACAATAAAGGTTATTTCTATTCCGTTTTATTCTCGTTGGGACTTTAAATGAAGAGGATACATTGAATAACTTAGAGACGCAGTTCCGGACGCGGATACCTTTGTTCAAGGTTAAATTAATGATTTAAATTGTTTTGAAATTTATATAAGGCAGTGGGAATTTAAATATACTAAATATACCTACTGTATATACAGCCGTTTTAATACCAGTTTAATGTGAAATTAAATTGAAAGGCACTTGAGAATTCAGCTTATAAAAACAATAAGAAACGTTTCTGAATAGTGCATTACAAATTGATGATGTTGATATCAATTTATTTGTGATATATAATATAATATTTGATTATCAACAGAAAGAAACATCAGTAAGGAAGTTTTTATTAAATATGTGAAGACTCGATTCAAATTGGTTTGGACAAGTCGATATTTGCGACTAAAGTACCTTTTATATGCAGGTGGCGGCATCTCACGAGATATTGAAGTTTCACACTGTTACCGCGCTTTCCGTTAGATGTCGCTGGCAGTACCATTTTAAAATTTTAAATGTCCATTCCACTAAACAATCGTTTTCTCATTTTTTACTAAACCAGCAGAAATTGTCTGTCGATACAGTAAAACATTGAACTTAATTTAAAGAATTATTGTATTGAACACAGGATTTATAAGAAATTACAATATATACGTGTTGGTGTCCAGGTTCAGTTTTCGCATCTGCTCATCAATCCAGGACCTAAATTTGGCGATCTTCACGTATACACTCGGTACATTTTGACTTCCGCATCCGATCCCTGCGGCTACCATTCCTGTTAGGACATACCTTCTAGGATTGCTGGGATCAGGACAAACAAGAGGACTGCCACCGTCGCCCTAAAACCAAGGAAACGTCAAGAATAAATAAAAAATTAAACTAGTTTTATATTAAGGCGCAATGCACTTAATATCACAGTGTTTTTTTTATCTTAATAAAGAAATAATAATTTTGACAGCACCCAATTTACTTTAAATTGGTACCTACACAATATTAAGAAATATGCAGTTCTTTAAGTAACAAATCAACTCAAAATAATAAAATTTTAAATTTAAAAGTAACTTGGTAAAAGTAAACTCGATTTGAAACATAGGAAAGAAATATTTCCTCATAATTTTAATATTTCAAATACTTCCCCACATATTTAGGCAACCCGCAACAAATATATTATATATATTTACATAGATACTATAAAAATTTGCAACTTCAAATTAATTTATTTTTACAAGGATTTGTCACTATTTAAGAACAACCAGTACGTGTTTCGTAAAATAGATAAGTACACTAATGTGCTTAAAACTTACAAAAAACGATATAAAAGAATATTCCTAAATTTAAATAAAGTAAAAATTTAACATTAGCCGTGTTATTCCTAATTCTCGGAAAGAATAGCCTCGTACGCAGGTGAGATCTTGTTCATATGTTATCGCTGTCATCATTAGCGTATTCCCTCTTCTTTTGTTTAATCTTGGCATTTTCTAGTTCTACTAAGTATTTTTATTGTATTTCTTGGTGTCGTGCTGTCGGTGTGTTTATCGAGTGTTTTTTTCATCAAGTGGTTTATTGTAAACGTACTTAACCATAATCAAACTTTCCTTGCTTGAATGATATCTTGTTGCGAGGCTACTTGGCTTACAAGAAATTATCTTTAATGCGCATGCTCAGTAACATTGATATAATTTTAATTTATTAATTGCTATAAAAGTCAATATTGTTCTATAAAGTTAAATATATAAATTCTATAATTGTATTTGTCACTTGGGGTTTGAAACTTCTTAAATATTTCTAATATTGTCAGAATATCGCGATACTTAAGGTCATGGCAAAAGAGCCATTTTTTTAGCAGTTATATCCAAAGTACATAAGATCGAAAATCGATCTAGTAAAACTTTTGGGAAATTCTTCATGACAATGTGTACTGTGGGGTTGCCTATTATTTGGCGTATGTGACGTCACTACTAAAAAGGTCTGGACATTAATCTGAAAATAGTCCATTTTCAAAATAAGCAGACTATTATGCTGATATTACGTATCTTGTAACAACTTGTTTAATGTTTATAATTTTATTTTGTTATTCTGTTATTTTATTATCGGTTGTAAGTAGAAACGGACAAAACACAAACAGAACATTTAAATGTATATTGAACTTGCCTGCTATAATACAAAAACACTCTTTAAAGAATAGTCAAATAAGTTTTTTTTATGTTGTTTAATTTCAACTAGGTAGCATTATGAAATTATTAAACAATAACTTATTAAGAATATTTCATAAGAGTGTGGCAATAACAGGATAAGTATATAAATTAAGAAGAGTTGAAAATATAAAAAAATATACAGGGTGACCGGAAACGAATGAGCCATACTTGAAGGGTACAAGGGTGCAAATAAATTCAGATCAAGTTACCTTAATACAATTTTGCTCCCTTAAAAAAGTTGTCGTAAAGGAAAAAATATAAGATGTATGAAAGATGGGGTGTATATTATAGACACGGAAACTAATTCTCAACAATTGTGAATAAAAGGGATTATGGGTGATATGAGACTTTCTTTTCGAAATCCTAATATTGATGTTTCACCGTAATACCCCGCTATACTATTTCTGTGCTTACCGTACAAGCATCTTTTCCCGCTTCTCCTCCAGCGCAAACCAAACTGTCATGGAGAACAAAATATTGACTCAAGACGGTTTTCCTTAAGGTTTCTTGACACTGCCCGGCTGGTACCATTGGAACATCGATTTTTTTCAGGATATCTAGATATATCCCTTCTTCTAAAATTAAAAATTGATACTAGACAAAAGTTGTACTCTTACCTTTTTTTGATCTTCTATTTTACCCAAATAAACACCACAAAATTTTATGTAGTCACAATATAAATAAAATATTTTTGTATCTACCAATTGTTAACACCTAATGTAATGTAAAAACGGATTTTTTTGTACCTTCCACAGTTTCTCCCCAACCGCTGATGAAACAGGTCCTGGACTCGATGACTTGATCCTGATCTGGCAAACAAACTGTACTGATGTGTTCATTTTTGTCCACTGGAGTTTGAAGGATTAACAGCGCGACATCATTTAAAATCGATGAGCGTTCATAGTTCTTGTAAAAGATGATATTAGCGACGTTTCTTTCCTGATAGGGGAATTTCGTAATTGCCTGTTTCGAGTTCCACTCTCCCACACGTACTTTAATTTCTTCTGCAGTAGACCTATACAATTTGTACATATGTACGTATACAGGGTGTATCTAAATAACACCGAAAAATTTCATTCATTCAATTCAAGGGGCGATTCTCCGATGAAAATTAATAGGGGTCTTTGGTATAAAATTTTTTGAAAAAACCCTCCCCTGAAAAGTTACGCCCCTCCTAAAATTACAAAAAAAAAATTGTTTTTCTTTTTTATCTTCCACGTACATCAAGCTAAAGAAACCAAACTTGGTGAACATTATCTGTCAATAAAACTACACTTTTTGAAATTTTTTCAACCCTGAACTATTTTTGTAAGGGGTTGAAATAATCAACCCCTATGACATTTTTTCTTATAATTTTTTTTTCGATAAAATTTTTTCCTTTTAAAAAATATGTCTAAAAAGCTCCATTCATTTACTGACTTTTTGATCTCTTCAAGTTTTTTCGAAAAGTTAAGGATTTATGAC